CCCCAAAACCCCAAAACCCCAAAACCCCGGGATTTTATAATATAATTGAAGATATGGAGACTTCAAGTCAAGAAATTGAAGACGGGGTTAATATAGCGACAGCTGTTAGGATCAGACCTATGCATGCTGCAGAAGTTGTGAATGGTATTTTAAGGCTTATTGTATAGAGCTGCCTTCAAGCATCTCAGGTTGTACTACCAGTAATAGAGTTATATGAGATATGAGCCATAATTCTATTTATTCAAATTGTAAGCAAACTTTATTATTGTATAGCACCTAAAGTATTTGGATATGACCATGTCTTTGATGAATACTCTAGTCAGGAAGAAGTCTACACTCAAGCAGTCGCATCTTTGGTGGATTCATTCTTGGATGGATATAACTCAACAGTGTTTTGATATGGAGAAGGAGGATCAGGCAAAACATATACTCTTTTAGGGGATGATTGCTATTCTTCAAAAGATCAAAGAGACACTGGTATGATCGATTATTGACTTCAACAAGTATTCAATGAGATAGTCCGATTTGAAGAGTGTCAATTAGAGCTTGGATATTTTATGATATGAAATGAGAAAATTTATGATCTTATTAGCTCTAAAGATGAAGCTCTTACTGGTAATGTCAAAGATTTATCAAAAAGATGGAAATATGAGATTAATTCTATTGAAGAAGTGAATGAATTGATAGACAAAGGAAACCTGAAGTAAATCAAATTTAAATTCTTAAGGCAATTTACATTTAAGCATTCACTAACTAGACTATAGATATTGGAAAATCAGGGAAAAATAAATGTGCTACCAAAGCTCATAAAATCTTTCAAATTACTCTTACAACAAAAGTCATCTCAGCTGAATTAGCTTTAATTCCTCGAACTCTGTCATTGGTAGATATGGCAGACAGCTCAAGAATTTCAAAAGCATCTGCTTGAGGTCAGACTCTCAAGGAAGCAGTTTAACATTTCAAAATCTCTCTGCTCTTTTGGTCTTGTGATTATGGCTCTTACTAGTCCAAAGAAGAGTCACATCCCATACAGAGATTCTAAACTAACTTATCTGTTACAAGATTCCCTTGGTGGATCTTCCTTCACATTAGTCATTGGCTGAATCAGTCAAACCAATGTTGAAGAAGGACTTTCAACACTCAGATATTTGAGCCGAATTGGCACGGTGGTTAACCACCCTAAGGTAACAAGATAAAATCTCTACTTTGCATTATTGAGAGAACCAAGAGTGGAGTTCACATTTAGTAAATTTCTCTGAAATTTTATTTTAAGCAATTTTCTTATTAGGATATTAAAATTCCAAGCTAGGTACGGCTATAAATCCAAACAACATTCTTTTTGAGACTCTGAATTGTACTTTTAATAGTACAGCTCTATTAGAAAATTATGATGGTATAGAGTTTAGAAGTAGACGCTTGGGATTTGGCATATAATGCTCCTGTTGAGACTTTCATTTAAATAGTCTTATAGAATGTCAATGTAGAGTTTTAAGCCCGGGGTTTTGGGGTTTTGGGGTTTTGGGG